CAATTTATTCAGTTTGTATCCTAGCTGTAGCCCCCTCCCTCGACCCCTCCCAATCCTGCCCTCCCTCCATTTTCTCCTCCTATACCGGTCCCCCAGTCCACTGATAGGGGAGTTCCTCCTCCCCTTCCATCTGACCCTAGCCTATCAGGTCTCATCATAACTGTCTTCATTTTCTTCCTCTGTGGCCGGGTAAGGCTGCCACCACCTCAGGAAGAGTTGCTCAAAGAGCCAGCCACTGAGTTCATGTTAGAGACAACCTCTGTTTCCCTTACTAGGAAACCCACTTGGATTGGAGCTGTCATTGGCTACATCTGTTCTAGGTTATCTCCATTAATGGTCCCTAGTTGGAGTATCCGTCTCAGAAAAGACACCCATGCCCAGATTTTTTGGTTCTGTTACTCTCCTGTGGATCTCCAGTCCTCTCCAGGTCTTCCTAGCTCCCCCTTCTTTCATAAGATTCCCTGCCTTCTTCATAAAGTTTGGCTATGAGTCTCAGCATCTGCTTTAATACCCTGCTTAGCTCAACCATTAAAGGCTAGACTCACAACCATAAATATTAATGGAAGGCTAATTTTTGAACAGAGGAATGGCATATGTAGATATTATTTAGTAATGAAGATGATGTGTTGGGAACTTCTGTGGAATTTATTGTAGATATCAACTCAGAGCCCCTCCCTTTTTGAAATTATGTGACTCAAAGTCTTAGATATTTGGCTGAACTTAATTTATCACATCTAGCTACTTTCTCAGCACTTAATTCGGTTAACTCTTTACAGTGTAGGCATTTGCCCAAAGCTCCATGCAGAGTACTATGGCAGTAAAAGGAAGAGATTCATATCTGAGCAGCTGCTATTAAATCATTCTTACATGAATTGCCCCAAGCACTGAACTCACATCATTTCCATTGATGTCATGGTGAAATTGCACATAATTTCCTGTTAACACAGAGAACATGTACTTGCTTGTCTAAGTCTGTCTCCTCTAAGTCTTTGCTGTTGTTACTTACCTGACATTTTATTCATACCTTTCTGCTGCTCGTTTTCATTTTATTTTCTGGCCATATGTGTATATATCTCTCTCCTCTAAAAATAAAACCTGTAGGTCAAATCTGGCTCATTATCTGTTCTTAAAAATGCAGAGTGCAGCCATGCTCATTTCTTAATGATTATTTCTGCAATGCATATCCCATGGCCCCCAAACAAAAAGTGTTTATTACCCTGCCAATTATACAGAAAGCATTGACTTTAATTTTAGTTGTTGACAGATACTTTAAGGAAAGAGTTACACCTTATTTGTTCAGCTTCAGTCCACTGGAGTCTAAGAAACCAATGAATACTCAAGTTGACTGTAGATATGACATGATTCTAGCTCTTTGTGAAACATCCTGCAAAGAGACCTCTGACCTCATACAGCACTGTGTAGTGCTAGAGACACTACAGGGAGGTATCAACAAACAAAGTAATAGAATATATTAGCAATCAATATATAGGTAACAGACTGAGATAAACAAGAAGAATTTTCATAATAGGTGTGTAGTTATGGTGGTAGTGGGGGAATTAGTTTTATATGGATTCAGATACAGTGAATGTAGAGCCCAGAGTCACATGGATTCTAAAAATTGTATGGGCTGAGTAGGAGATGGGGTGTGTTTGGCATATCTGTGGACTGACAAGGAAGCCATGTGCCCAGAGCAGAACAAGAAAGGAGTAGCGTGGGAGGAAATGATCTCACTGTCTGTCTGTTTTTTAGGGCTGGTTTTATTGTGATGAATTTCCCTTTGACTGACATGGGAAGCCCCTGGAGGGAACAGCAGAAGAGAGACAGAATCTGTCATGTTTTAACAGGTTCTCTAGCTTCTGAGTGGAAAATAGAGTTTAAGGAAAAGGGTGAGAGTAGGAAGAAGCTATGAAAGCATTTAGATTGGTCTTTTGATAACACAGGTATGAGATGATGGTGGCTTGATGATGATGATGGTGGTGGTGGTGGTGTGATGACAGGGCAAATTTCTGCCTTCCTGGTCCAACTTAGTACCTGGAATACAGTACCCCTCTCTTGAAGAGGTGGCTAAAATGTCAGCATTCTCATTGGGCTGCACTGTAGAATCATCCTTGGGATGGAATCGTTACACTTCCACTAAAACATAGTCATTATGCAATATTTATCTTTTGCTGTCTGGCATATTTCACTTTGTCACTTGCCACAGTATCCTCTAGTTGTATGCATATTGCTTTAAATGATAAAATTCCATTTTTTCTGACCAAATAGTATTTCATTATTATGTGTATGTGCTGCATTTGTTTATCTGTTCATCAGTTGTCAGACACTTAGGTTGTTCCCATAGCATGGCTACTGTGAATCATGTTACAGTGAACATGGAAGAGTGCAAATGCCACTTCAATGTAACTCATTTTCCTTTTGGGTCATATGACAGTGTTTTCACTTTTAATTAATAAAAAAAGCAATTTTATATGTGTGTTCTATATATATCAGCATATATGCATGTTCACATGTGTGTAGGCACACTAATGTGTGCATGTTTGTGGAACCCTGAGCTTATGTTGGGAGTCTCCCTCAATTTCCCTCCACTTTACTCATTGAGTCAGGATTTTTGAGATGAACCCGATTTCTGCAGGGCTAGTCTGGCTAACCAGCTTGCTCTGTCTCCTCCCCAGCACTGGGATTACAGGTGTAACTGCCATGCCCATCTAGTATTTATGTGGGTTTTGGGAATGGGTAGTAAAAATGTTTTTGGCTTTTTAAAAATAATATTCTCCACACTTTTTGTTGTTGTTTTCTTTGTATGTATTAGCTTATAATACTGTACTATATAAGTACATGGGTATACTGTATATGCAAAAAATAAAATAATTGCGTTGGGCATGATGGTATGCCTCTGTGATGGTAGTTTGCTCCTATGATCTCAACATTCAGGAGACAGAGGAAATGGTTTTGCAAACTTGCTGCCAACCTGCAAGACCCTGTCTCAAAAAATAAAACAGAAACATATTTAAATAAGTAAATACCATAAAAAAATAACAACCATCACATAACAAAGCACAGGAAAAGGCCTGTGTTTTTCCTCTTCATTTTTATGCTTCTGATAGAAAAGGAGAAGAAATTAGACATGGAGATAATTCTCTATCCATAGTTATTCAAAGTCCTGCTTAATAGGCTAAACTTTTAAATTTATTTAGAGCCACCTACAGGTACAATGGAATGGGCCCAAGGGAGGACAAGTGAAGTTTATTATAAGTGCAGCCTTTGGCTTTACATTGCAGACTGGAGAGATGTGTAAGCACCAGTATTTCAAATTGCAACCACTCCTTTATTGGGCAGTAAATATGAGTGACTGGTTGCAGACTCTTTCCTGGCTACTAGTTTGCTCTTCTAATCTATATTAAGCTCAGGACATACTTTATACTCAATAGTGATCTTTGTCCTGTTGGCAGTGAGGTGATGGTGTTTCATCAATGCAGTGTGCTCTTCATATTTCAGATGTATGTGGTTTCATAAGAGGTCAGATGATTTGAGAACCCTGTCATTTTGTAAAGAAGCAGCGGTGTGAATACAAATGCCTGATTGTCAGAATCACTATACACAACTTTGGAAGTGAAGCCTTCCCATAAACCCAACTGAGACTGCCCTTGGGAGTGATTTGAACCTCCTGATTTAGTAATCTGCACTATTCTCCCACAGCCTGCAGTGGGCTGCAGCTAATATGCCAGGCAGCATTCTACAGCCCTCTACTAATGGTCTTGAAATGGAGAAGGTTCAAAGAGGCTTAGTTCCCAGGCCTGCTAATGAGCATGAGGCCTCTTCACCCTAATGAACTGGTGCTTGTGTGGGATTCTTTGTCATCCATTTTTGAAGGGAAGGCAGGCAGGAGTTCACAAAAGCAGTGAGGTATTTATGGGAAAAGGAACATTCAGCTGGGCCACCCGAAGGTGGCCTGGAGGGGAGTAACAAAGCTGGCAGAGGTCATGCCTGGGCCAGCAGGGCTGTGAATGTGAGACAACCAAGGCTGTTGCTGGCAACAGTGACAAGCCTGAGATAGGATATTTTAGGCCAAATGAGACTGCACAGGGTTCCTCAACAGGCTTTACATCGTCTTTCAAAATTGCTTTCTAAACTGTCATTATCATTGTTAGAACTTATCACATGTATGTGATAATATTAGTCATTGGTATTGTAGTCTTCAAAAATTCTCCCAAATAGTTTACTTTATTTCTGTCTTCCTCCCATGTCCTCACTTCTGGATTACATAATAGATGAGTAATGAATATATGCCATAAATACTGTCTCTACCATGATCATCTTTGTGAAAACAAAAACAAACACAAAAAAACCCCACATTTTTTTCTGAAGAATATCTTGGAAAATGGTATCTGAAATTTAAACATGACTACTTCTATTGAAATGCATGCGTTTCAGTTCATATATACTTAACATTCATATCTACAGTTTGTACATCTGTACAGTTGAAAAGCCTGACCTGCTATTGCAAACGGATAGTCCTTAAAATGCTTATGCATTAATATTTAAATTCACAGATTCAAAGTTGTAAATGATTATAGTTTGTTAGTGGCAGTTTCTGCATGTTAATTTTAACCAAAGGGAAAACTCAGCTGTGACATAAAATTACTCGGCTCATACACCAATTATAGAAATTACAGTCTCAGTCACTTGTCAGGTTGGAGTTAGACCTTTTAAAAGCCAAAATTGCAAAAGCTATAAACAAACAACAATAAACATTAAAAAGCTTCCATTTTCAACAATCAGAACTTTGAGGAAATGTTTTTTGTTTTGTTTTGTTTTGTTGTTGTTCTTGTTTTAATCATTTGCCTCCAGTAAAGAGAGACATTTGGAACACACACACATATTTTCCTTTCCATGACCTGTGTTTGGAATTATTCTGAGATGCATTCAAAGCTGACAGCCCCTCCTCCCCCCCTCCCCGCCTGACCCCTCGTGCTTAATCCAATCTTACGTTCTGTTTCCAGATAGCTGATCAGCTTCCTTGGATTTTGCTGATGACCCCGGAGAGTTTTGCCTGAAGATGGAAACACTGGAGTCGGAGCTGACCTGCCCTATTTGTCTGGAGCTCTTTGAGGACCCTCTCCTGCTGCCCTGCGCACATAGCCTCTGCTTCAACTGTGCACACCGCATCCTGGTCTCTCACTGTGCCACCAACGAGCCTGTGGAGTCCATCAGCGCCTTCCAGTGCCCCACTTGCCGGCATGTCATCACACTCAGCCAGCGAGGTCTAGACGGGCTCAAGCGCAACGTCACTCTACAGAACATCATTGACAGGTTTCAGAAAGCGTCTGTAAGCGGGCCCAATTCTCCCAGTGAGACCCGCAGGGAGCGGGCTGTTGACGCCAACACAATGTCCTCTGCCGAGAAGGTTCTTTGCCAGTTCTGTGACCAGGATCCTGCCCAGGATGCTGTGAAGACCTGTGTCACTTGTGAAGTGTCCTACTGCGATGAGTGCCTGAAAGCCACTCACCCGAACAAGAAGCCCTTTACAGGCCATCGTCTGATTGAGCCAATCCCAGACTCGCACATCCGGGGGCTGATGTGCCTGGAGCATGAGGATGAGAAGGTGAATATGTACTGTGTGACCGATGACCAGTTAATCTGTGCCTTGTGTAAACTGGTTGGGCGGCACCGCGATCATCAGGTGGCAGCTTTGAGTGAGCGCTATGACAAACTGAAGGTTAGTCCGATCCACCTTAAGCCAACCCCTTCTTGCCAGAAAATGTCATGGAAATAAGAAGTGTATTCACTGCTAGCTACATAACAGGTGAAGGTTTTCCCTTCACCTTTGTTGTCTGATTAGTTGTAGCATGTTTTTGGCAGCCTATAAATGTTACAAAATGGGGGTATCTTGTAAAAGTTGACTGCTACTTGAAATTTTAGTGTTGTCAAGGTGAGGGCAAATTCTGAAAATCTGGATCACTTTCAACTCTTGCTGTTTGTCTGGATCGTTTTCAATGTTTGCAGTTGTTGCAAAGAGAGTAGAGAGAGAACGAAGACGGAGAGGGAAAGGTGAGAGAAAGAGGATATGGAAGATAAAAATCTATCTTGTGAGCATTTATTTTCTTCATTCATCCATGAAAAGTAATTCACTCACATTATACCTTTTTCTAGTTACTACACAAGCAAGGCTAGAAGGAACAATGTCGATAGCAAATGTCTGTACCAAATGTGATATTTTTTAGAGGACATGTGACCTCCTTGTGTAAATGATATTCTGCTTATTGGTGAGTTATTATGTTCTGACAATCTCAGGTTTCATGAAGGCATTCCTGTGTGTATAGGCTTCATTTGTCTGGTGAGTTTACAGACAAGACTGTCTAATCGTCATCTACTTCTAGTATGAAATTATCCACATTACAGTTTGAGAGATAGTAATTAATATGGTTACACGTTATTTTTTTTAAAGTCACTCCCTAAATAAGGTTAGAAAGCAACAAGGAGGAAACAAGCAAACAAACAAAAACAAAAACAAAAAATTCTGATGTCTGTTCATCTTCAGTTGACAGTAGGCCTAATTATTGCAAATTCAGCTGAGAGTGTGAGTGAGGTATTATGCTCATCCACTAATTTTAGATTACAAGACACTAATTAAAAGGAAAGGAAGTATAAATTAAAAGGGCTAAGTAAATATACACTGAAGTCCTAATTCTCAGGAAAAACAGCAACTTCTTGAGAAAACAAAATGAATCAGATGATCCAAGGAGTATTATTGCTCAGAGAATATTATCATCTTTAATAAATGGTTCCTATCTCTTCTCCTAATATCAATGAGTAGTTATATTTACTTGGGCTACATAGTTGAATTTGTGACAGTGAAGATTAAGGAACCATATCTGGGACTCAACTTTGTGATTGCTTGACACACTGAGGGAAGCTGACATGCTAAAGGAAATCCCTGCTTCTAAATGTCACAGGGGAAGCAAATGTAATACCTGCACAGCATGCCTCACTTCAAATGTCCAAGGAGTGAGTGGCTGCAATCCATCTTTTCACCATGTAGAGGATGTTTGCCACAAGAATTTAGGTGACATAGGCAAGGGAAAATAGACACCCATTAGATTTCACTGCATTGCACAGCTGTAGCAGAGAAAAGTATCACCAAAGTGTATAACAGGAAAAGGAATATGCATGAAATTATGACTAAGTCAGTTGTTCAAAATTCCAGATGGCTTTCAGTCTGTAAAATCCAAGGTGATTGCGATGAGTGAATAGAGATTTTTCGTCTTCCTTTCCTTCTTGTCCTTTGTCAAGAAAATGTTCTTCTGATTAGATTAAGGGCTGGTTGCTAGAACAACATCATCATAATGAGGATGCATATTCAACAACTTTCAGGCTTGCTATTTACATCTGGTAATCAAGTCCTGCTTAGTGTCTGTGTGCTGTCACAGCACAGTTATTAATTATTTACATAACGTCTTCAAAAATGAGGAGATACTACAGTAGCCCTTTTTGTGATCAAAATGCAAGTCTTCAGGCATGAGTCCAGTACATTTTTCTAATCAAGCCAATGAATTGCCAGTTATTAATATTATCACAGGGACGGCCTGACAATTAACCATATTGCATATTTTATTTTCTAATTACAGAAATATAGGCATGTAAACAACATCTAGTGCACTGAAACACATGTGCAGCTGTTCAACAAAATGTTTATGAGTAATTATTTACAGCGATTCCGTGAAATATGCTTTTAAGCATTACATGGATAACATACAAGCGGAGCATGTTTGTTCAGAAACATGCCATTCATGTTAGAATAAAAAAAACCCATAAAAATGTAGGGCATTTGGGAGGTAATGATACTGATTAACATAAGTATTTTCTTGGTTTGCTTAAGACGTAGTACAATATAAATGCTGATTAAAAAAGGAATTAATATCATAATGAAGAGAATCAAACCAATCAAGTGTATGTTTTTAATAGTTATTACATTGTTCTGAAAAAGTAAATTGTGTTTTGAGAGATTTCATATTGATACGGATTTGTGCTGATGTCATTGCAAAGAATAATTGTATTCTTTGATAATCTAAATTTGGAAGAGCATTTTTAATTACATCAGATTTCAGCACAAAAGATATATGTTTCTGTAAAAAAAAAAAAAAAAAAAAAAAAAAAGAAAGAAATATAGCTGGCCATGGTGGTCCATGCCTTTGATTCCGTCATTCAAGAGGCAGAAGAATATAGATATCTATGATCTCTTTGAGTTCAAGGCCTGCCTGGTCAACATAGTGAATTCCAGGCCAGCAAAGACTATGTATTGAAACCTTATCTTAAAAAATACAACAACAAAAGAAACAGAAATAAAATGTAATTCTATACATTGACATATTTACTTGAAGCATAAAAGATAAACTGACACAGAATTTCAACATGTACAATTCATGTATGTAGAATCTTCCACATCTCCATAGAGAGACCCTGTCTCAAAAACCAAGAATTTTTGAAATATCTTTCACATTATTTAAAAGATAACATTTCAGTAATCTGTTTTCAGGAACTATGCATGATAAACACTCATGAGATAGGGAAACAGTGAGAAAAATTAAACTCAAAATTCCTGACCACTATTTTTTCAATATAAGTTTTTATTTATTAAAATTTATTCATTTTATAACCGAGCTGTAGCCCCCACCATTATCCCCTCCCAATCCTACCCTCCCTTCCTCCCTCATCTCCTCCCATACCCCTTCCCCAGTCCACTAATAGTGGAGGACCTCCTTACCTTCCACCTGACCCTAGCCTATAGGTCTCATCAGGACTGTCTTTTGTAGTCTTCTTCTGTGGCCTGGGAAGGTTGCTCCCCGCTCTGGGGGAGGTGATCAAAGAGCCAGCCACTGAGTTCATGTTAGAGATAGCCCCTGTTCCCCTTACTAGGAAGTTCATTTGGAGAATGACCTACCATGGGCTACCTCTATTTTTTTTAAAGGAACAAGAGAAATTTTCCTGTCAAATGTAGTCTCTAAATGAGGCACATCAAAACATGGACATTAAGAACATCATTTTAGACAAGAGCCTACCACAGATGGCCTTTGACAGACTCTACTGATTGATGTATTGAAGTAGAGGCTGAGATTCATAGCCAAACATTGGGCAGAGTTCATGGAATTTTATGAAAGAAAGGGAGATAGAAAGACCTGGAAGGGTTAGGTGCTCCAGAGACCAACAGAGCCAACATATATATATATATATATATATATATATATATATATATATATATATA